GTTCTTACTCGGAGGCTTACAGGGCCGGGCAGTGGGGCACGCCCCGGGCGGTTCCCCCGGCATCCGCTCCGCGGTTCCCCCAGTGACGTTCCCTTAGCTTAGCGTTGCTTATCTCATCTTACCTTAGCTGATTTCATCGTAGCTTAGCTTCGTCTTAGCTTAGCTTAGCTTCATATAGATGTTAGATGTTGCTTTCCTAGATCCTCCAACTCCTAGGTAGGGTCGAACAGGGATAATTGAAGTGCCCCTCCTTGGGCTCGCGGCTCGCTGTGTTTTCGGGGCGTTTTCTCGCGGATGCCCCCCGCGCGGATCGAATCCGTTCGACCGCGCATCCACGGGTCCGCGCCCTGGAACACCGGCCGCGAGGGCGTGGATCGGAGGCTCGGTGGTGTAAGACTGAGAGCTCGCTCGGTAGATGGTCATACAGGCAGAGACAAGTGGATGAATTGTGCGTCCAGTGCTTTGTGGGCCCCGGAAACGGCAGGTCCGTTTTTTCACCGTTTCCGAAAAAATGTCCCTTGAAAGTCGAAACGGCAAAAAAAACGGCGACCGGAAACGGCAAAAAGACGGCTCCAGGATTGGAACCGGAGCCGGAACCGGTCAAACAACGGCGACGGAACCGGTAAAAAAACGGCGTCGGAACCGGCAAAGAAATGGCAAAACGGAACCGGTAACAAAAACGGCTCTGTCGTAACCAGGGCTCACTAAGGTCCAGTGCCAATCAAAGACGAAGTCCCCCCCAACCTCCTTATCACCCAAAGGATGCTCTTCGTTAGCAAATCGTGGGAGCCTTGTGTACCCCCGTAATTCCGCCTTTAGCGTCGATTAGCGTCGATTAGCGTCTGGTAGTCGATGAGATAACGCCCATTTAGCGTCGGCTAACGCCGATTAGCGTCGATTTAGCGTCGAGTTAGCGTCGATTCGCGAGAGCCGACAAGATGGTATGTGAGGCTCCCATGAGTTGCCACGCAAAGGGTGGTCTATGCAGCACGCATGCGTTCGCCTCTCGTGGCCCTGTGCGTACCATCTCTCGACGGCGCGCTCAGGGGGGAATGCCTCAGAAGGCTTCAGGCTTTCTGAGGCCAGAAGATCCAAGGCGGCCCAGGAGGCCCCCAAGATGGCGTCCAGGAAGGCCCGAAGAGGCTAGAAGCATTGATTTTCATTAGGTGTTCTTGTGAAGGTTTTTGGCATTTGTTTCTCTTCGGCCGTCCGACGACCCGAGGCGGCCCGAGAGCCCCCCAAAATCCGCCGACAGAGACGGCTTCTCAATAGGCTGGAGGGCTTCTTAGCAGTCCCGCCGCCTCACGAGAAGCCCCGCCCCCTCTCACGCCCCCCTCCTGCGCGCCGCCGAGCCTGGCCTTCTGTCGGGGGAGGACAGACCTCCTACCCTGACGCGTCGATGATGGAATTGGCCGTTCTCGGTTCGCGAGAGGGCGTCGCGGCCGTCATTTTTGCGGGTCCAGGTCCGTCGGTTTCGGTCCACGGCCGTTTTCACTAAGGGGAGGTCTACTAAAAGGGAGGTTTGTCCACCGCCGACTCTGGCTCGGGTCTCTGGCGGCCGCTCAGGCTGATCCAGGCACCCCCGGAACGCTTTCGGCGAGGCGAAGCTGCTGGTTAGCATCCCGAGGCTGGAAAGCCGTTAGTGGGGGGCCACGTGCGAACCCCACCCCTACCCCCCACGATTCCTGAGGGGGAGGGGCCACAGGCGAACCCCACCCTCCCCCTCAGAAATCGTGGGGGGTAGGGGTGGGGTTCGCATGTGGCCCCCTAGTTAGGAACACGTCGAACTTGCCCTCGTGCCCTTGTCCCCACGGCGCGCCGCCGAGATGCGTTCGCCGTTCGTGACCTTCAGCGCATCATCCCAGAACAAACGAGCGAGACGGGTCAAAGCGTGATTCTTTCCCCTTGAAGCCCGCGAGTGGTTGCGTGCTCGCCACCTCCCTGACGATTTGCTCAGCTAGAGCCCCAAAAGTTCGGGACAACAGCACACCACCAACCCCATCCACTACGGTAGGTTCGAGTCGTGCCGACCGGCGGTGACCCCGCCGCCAGCGTTCACCGTTGAACGCTGACGGCGACCCAGAATCGGTCGATGTTGAACGATCTGACGTTCTGGAAACGGCTAAGTGGTCAAGATTGAACGATTCCCGTGGTGTCAGGAACCAGCGCCAGGGTCGACACGACATGAACCCGCTTACACCGTGAATGTACATGCTTATTGGCGGAAACGAGCATCGATATGAGTCGGCAGCGAAATACGAATCTTACCCTCGCCGATCAAAGATTCAGGCACCTCGATGGGCGGCGGGGGTAGGGCTCGGAATTCGTTGAACACGTGGCAAAATCCGAACCCTACCCCTGCCTCCCATCGGTTCAGGAGAATCGATGGCTGGTAGGGGTAGGGTTCGGACGTCGCCGGCTACAGTCTTCTTTCTCCTCCTGGGGCGATTTGGAGCGATCTTCCTCTACCCCGAGATCCGACGTTGCGGACAAAAACTTGCAGCATCGCGAAGAATCATGACCGGAGCCCGGGACCCCAGCTGCCTGCTGCATTCTCCGATCCGGATGGACTTGTGATGGCCCCTGGGACCGAAGGCGGACGAAAACGCCCAGTGTGAACAATCGCAGCGCCCAGATCTCAGGGCAACCCCATCTTTTCGATTGGCGACTGCTCATGAGCGAAGACAGGGGCCACTGTAGTGGGGGGATAGACCCCCGCCCCCGCCCCGCCCAGGAAGGTGCGGATGCGCCATCGGGGGCCTGTCGCTGATCGATCGGCGATGTACTGCCGATTGCAGGTCGCTGTTCCCCCCCGAGGGCAGATCGTTCAAGCGAAAAGATGCTTGTTCAAGCGAAACGCTGGTTCGTTCAAGCGAAAACGCAACCAGCGAAAACTACGTAGATAGACACAGGGAGACACATATAGACACAGAGAGACACAATAGACACATAGAGACACACATAAACACAGAGAGACACATATAGACACATCTAGACACAGAGAGACACATATAGACACAGAGAGACACAGAGTGACACAGATAGACACAGTGAGGCACAGAGGGACACAGAGGGACACACAGGGACACAGCTAGACACAGAGAGACACAGAGAGACACAGAGTAACACAGCGAGACACAGCGAGACACTGAGGGACACAGAGGGACACAGAGGGACACAGAGGGACACGGAGGGACACAGAGGGACACAGAGGGACACAGAGGGACACAGAGGGACACAGAGAGGCACAGAGAAATACAGACAGACACAGAGAGGCACACAGAGGGACACGGAGGCACACACAGAGAGACACAGAGGGACACAGAGGTACTCAGAAAGACGCAGAGAACACACAGAGAAACACAAAGGGACACAGAGAAACACATGGGCACAGAGGGACACAGAGGGACACAGAGAGACAGAAATACAGAGGGACACAGAGGGTCACCCTGGGATTTCGGGCTTTTCCAGGCTCGATCCCTCCCAAATCCCGGTTCCCGCCATCCTGGCGGTCGCCGCTCGCGGGGGCAGGGGCTCGGGCCGCTCGCCAGAGCTTGGAACTGGGATTTCGGGCTTATCCGGGCTCGATCTCTCCGCAATCCCTGCTCCCGCCATCCCGGCGGTCGCCGCTCGCGGGGGCGGGGCTCGGGGCGCCCGACGGACTCGGGAACCGGGATTTCGGGCTTTTCCACGCTCTCCCAAATCCCGGTTCCCGCCATCCCGGCGGTCGCTGGTCGCCGAATCCCGCAGGGGCGGGCCGCCGCCAGAGCTTGGAACTGGGATTTCGGGCTTATCCAGGCTCGATCTCTCCGCAATCCCTGTTCCCGCCATCCCGGCGGTCGCCGCTCGCGGGGGCGGGGGCTCGGGGCGCCCGACGGACTCGGGAACCGGGGCTTCGGCGTGGCTCGATCTTTCCGAAATCGCGGTTCTGTCCTGGCGGTCGTTGGTCGCGAAACCCGCGGGGGCGGGGCTCCTGGCGCCCGCCAGAGCTGGGAACCGGGATTTTGGACTTTTCTGGGCTCGATCTCTCCGAAATCCCGGTTCCCGCCATCCCGGCGGTCGCCGCTCTTGGGGGCAGGGGTTCGTGGCGCCCGCCAGAGCTGGGAACCTGGATTTCGGGTATATCCGGCCTCGATCTCTCCGAAATCCGGGCTCCCGCATTCCCAGCGGTCGCTGGTCGCGGGGTCCCGCGGGGGCGGTGCGCCCGACAGAGCCGGAAACCGGGATTTCGGACATTTCCGGCCTCGATCTTTCCAAAATCCCGGTTCCCGCCATCCCTCGGGATTGCCACGAGTTCCCACCACTGTCTCAGGAGGAGGTGGAGGAGGAGGAGGAGGAGGAAGAGGAGGAGGAGGAGGAGGAGGAGGAGGAGGGGGATATCAGAAAGGAGGGGGTCACGAAGGGGATCAGTGAGGAATCCACAGCGTTTCATCCCTTCATCCCTTTTCGCGCGAACGGGCCGAAACGATTTTGCTCGAACAGCCGCGAATTTCGCGCGAACTGTTTTCGCGCGAACGGCGCACTCTCGTCCCCCCCCTGCGCCAGTACCCCCTATCGCTGTCCCTCACGAAGGCGCACCGCTGTGCCAACCCCACAACAAATGAGCGAGACGGGTCAATGCGAGCGGTTGCGTGCTCGCCGTCTGCCTGACGATTTGCTAAGCCAGAGCCCCAACGCAACGGCTTTCGATGTGTAGCAACAGCACACCACCACCACTACACTGGTAATATACGCGCTTACTTGTGGAACCGCTTATCCATACAGGGCTCGTTTCGATTCCTCCGATGCGATCCGATCCGATTTCGACGGCTTCCAGTTCCGATTCGATGCGACTCCGGACTCCGACTTGGACTCTGGCCTCTCAGTGAGGCTGTGCTTGCCTCCCCATCTCCGCCCATTCGACTGCTTCCGATTTGGCTGCCGATTGCCGCCGATCCGAGCCATTTCGATCGCCGATTCGACCGATCGAAAGCGCCCGCGCCCTGCCCCGGCTCGCCCAGGGCGCCCGAGGTGCTGCGGCGGGCGGGGGCGCTGGCCGAGGCGGCGGAGGCGCGGGCGGCGAGCCTCTCGCGGGACGGCGAGGCGATCAGGCGCGGCCGCGCCCTCCGCCGCCCTCCTCCCTCCGCACTCCTCCTCATATATCCCCTTTCCTTCCCCTGCCGCCTCCCCGTTCCTCCTTCGCTCCTCCTTCCTCCGTCCTTCCTCCTCCTCGTCCCGCTCCTCCCCTCCCTCCTCCCCATTCCTCCTCCCACTCCTCCTCCCCTGCTCCTCCCCTCCCCTTCCTCGCTCCGTCCCGGGGGACCCCGAGTGGGTCGCCAACCCCATATCGCCCAGGGGGGCCCCTGGGCTTTGAGGTCCCTTCGGAGCTGGCCTCCTCTTCCCTCCTCCTTCCCTCTGGGTGTTAATCGTTCTCTAATCGTCCTCCCCTCCTCCCCCTCCTCCCCTCTTCCTCCACCACCTCCTCCTCCTCCTTCTCCCCCTCCTCCTCCTCCTCCACCATTCCTTCTCCTTATAGAATGACTCCTCCCTGTCGCACCCCGAGGCCAGTTTTCAGGGCGGGCCAGGCGATCTGAGACTCCCCCACCATGTATGACTCTGACGCTTAAACGTGGCAACAGTTTCACAGATGGAGGGCGGGTGGTTTTCAAAATGTGGCCCTCGCCTTAGCGCCGCGCACATTCGTTTTAAACATTTGCAAGAGTTTCGCGGATTGAGGGCGGGTGGTTTTCACAATGTGGTTCTCGCCTTAAGGCCGCGTATACTCGCTTTAAACATTTGCAAGAGTTTCACGGATTGAGGGCGGGTGGTTTTCACAATGTGGTTTTCGCCTTAGCGCCGCGCGCATTCGTGTTAATCATTTGCAAGAGTTTCGCGGATTGAGGGCGGGTGGTTTTCAAACTGAGGTTCTCGTCTTAGCCAAGGTGACGTTTGCCAACACCGTGACGGACATCATCAAAGCAGCTGCCGAAAAGGACAGGGCGTCAGCTCTGGGACTGGGTGAACCCCTCTACGAACCAGTGCCTGAGCAGGAAGCTGCTGCCAAGGCAGAGTCGCTGTACAAGCAAGCGGTGGATCGCATCTCCAAGGAAATAGAGACCAAGGAGAACGAGGCCAAGAAGGCGAAGGACAAGGAGGAAGCCAAGGAGCACGCCAGGATGAACATGGACCCGGCTAGCCTCCTCAAAAATGTGATCAACGCGGAGATCAGGGACAAGCTGGGCGAAAGACATGATGTTGATCTGGAAGGTGGGCCTCCAGATGCAGCTATGGGGTCAGAAGCTAGAGCAGTAGATCCAGCTCAAACCTTGACCCGCTTCTGCGACGCAGTGTCTGCAAAAAACGGCCGCTCCCCGGCGGCAGCGCCGGGGGGAACCAGACCAAAGGCAGGCAAGGACAAGGACTGCAGGGGCAAGGGAATAGACCCCCAAGACACGCAGCCCAAGGGCAAAGGCAAAGGCAAGAAGGGCAAGAAAGGCAAGAAAGGCAAGACAGACAGACAGAAAGGCAAAGGAAAAAACAAGGACAACGGAAAGGGCAAGGACTCCAGGAAGGGGAAGGATTCCAAGAAGGGAAAATACCCACACGGGAAAAAGGGAGAGCGTGGTACGAACGGAAACTCTTACGCCAAGTAGCGTGGAGACGCAAGCTCCGGGAGGACGAATCACAGCGTAGTGATATCCGATGGATGTTGCGCATGACGTCTGGGCTAAGCGTTGGGGATTTGCTTACCATCCTGGACTGGCCATCTCAGCAACATCGGGTTCAGCTATACGACCCTACCTCCCTCAGCATGCGGACGGCCAGCGCTCCATGGCCGATCAAATGGTACCTTTTACGTCGCCATCGTAAGCACATTTCTATATCTAAAGCTCTTCCCTCTTTAACTTCCTTCCGACGGCAATTGCAAGATTATGGAAATAAGATGAAATGGAGGTGGTATTTTCATCATTTTCCTGGACCTCCCCGAGCTTTCCGAGGCCCTCCGGCACCCAGACCACCAACCTTCACCAAGGAGGCTGAAGCCAACACCAAGCCCAGTTGGCTTCCGATGAAGTGGTGGGTGCAATCTGTCAGCCAGCAGCTCATGAACGCCATGGTGCGTGCCAGGAGACGTTCACGGTTTTCAGCACGATCGTACGCTAATTTGGGTCCGTTGGAAAAGTGTGCGCTCCAGCTACTCCAGAGAAGCAAGTTTGCGGCGATCCCCAATGACAAGGATTCCACTTTTTCGCTGGTGCGGAAAGCTGATCTTCCTATCATATCAGACCGTGTTTTTTCATGTAGGCGCTACGTGCCAACCAGCCGGCATGGCATCCACAACGCTCTTGCGAGGTCTTACAACAAAATCTGCAAGTGGGTTGGGGAGAAGTTGGACGATGAAACGTTGAGCCCAGCACTCTTCAAGAGCGCAATGTTTCCAGGCAGCACGGCGCGGAGCAGGCTACAGATCTTGGTCAAGACACAGAAGCCTCAGGGAGAAGTGGTTGTGCGAGCTGTCCATGCTTCGTCGAGGTACATGTTTGCTGGGCTCAGTCACTGGCTGGCTCAGGAACTTCGGCGCAAGCTTGGCGACGTCGCACCCTATCTTCTGAAGGATTCACAAGACCTTGTATCCAGAATCAGGCACATCCGGCATACGAGTGTTGAGAAATGGCACATGGCCACAATCGATGTTAAGGACTTTTACTTGAACGGCACACCTGATCAGATCATAGAGGCAATCCTGACATTATGGGCGGCTGACGACCCTATGAAGGAAGTCTTACATCGAGTTCTCGATTTCGTTTTGCATAATCAATATGTGGATGACCCATGGGAAGGGTCCGACAACCTGACGTACCAAGTGCTGGAAGGATCAGGTATGGGCCTGGAACATTCCGGCGAGGTCGCTGACTGTACGCTCGTGGCGCTCATGGAGAGGCGCGTCGTAACGGCAGGGGCGGGCGAGAAGCTTGCCCACCATGGTGTCAGAGCATACTGGAGGTTCAGAGATGACATACTGCTCCTGAGTGGGGGGCTCGCTTCAAGCACAATGTCGCTCTTCAGGGAGATGCAGGCGCTCGCTCACATCTACCCGATGAAGATAACATGGGCATGGCGCGAGGTGCAGTTCCTGGATCTGCTGGTGAGGAAGGAACGGGATCATTTTTAAGTCTCACACTTTCTGAAACCGTCCTCTCTCGCCCCTCCTCTATCTCCCTCCAGTGCTCAACCGCGCCACGTGCACAGCTCGTGGCCAAAAGCCTTTGCACAGAGAGTAAGTCGATTGTGTAGCACTCGAGGCCTATACCAACAGTCTATAGCCACCATAGAGAGTAGGCTTCGCGAGAGTTTTGCAGACGAATACACGCTCAGCATGTTCCGGCAATCTGCCCTCGTAGCTGAGGCACGCTTTTCTTCCACAGGCGCCGAGCCCCCTCGACGCCGAGTGGAACCCAAGAGAGAGTTTTTTTCCTGGCTAGTTGTAGGGCACCACCCTGCTACAGTGCAGGAACTACAGAGAGAGGTAGCTGCTCTGAATGGGCACCCAGTCCTTAGATCGTGGCTTGAACAAGCTTTTCGTTCGCGATTCGGGGAACGCTCCCAATCCATTGGTCTAAGCTGGTGCAATTCGGGCCCCTCCACCCTAAGACGTCTGCAACAAATCTTGTACTCTAGCGAATTAATGGTGTAGAGGTTGGGGTAGGTGGTGGATTGCTGTTGCTGCTCACGTTTCGTCGGCATCGGCACCACAACATTTTGGCACGAGCCATTTTCAGCGCAGAGCTGAGCAGATCTTAAGGCCAGTCTCTGGACAGCAACTTCCGGAGGCGCTGAGAGAGTAAAGAAGTCTCGCTGATCCCCTCCTGCCCCCTATCCTGGGCTCCCCCATGGCAGATGCTCGGGAGGGTGCGGCGAGCACATCATCTCCTGCTGGCCCGGCGTTCGCACGTGTCTTAGCGGGCCTTGAATCTGGCCCCGGTGAAGTCCGCGATCGATCGCCGCGCAGGCAGGGGAAAAGAGGCCAGGGTACTCCCGGTGCGGACGATCCAGTTCCTCGTCAGGCCGCGGATGACCAGGCACGGCTACACAAAATGGAGGACATGTTCTCCAAGATGATGGAGGCCAACATCAACATGACGTCCGCGATCGCCCAGAACCAGGCGCAGCTCCAGAGCTTGATGAAAACAATGGCAGAGAGCTTCCAGGGCACCGTGGGGGCCACCCAACAGGCCCTCGCCGGCGCAGCGGACTCCGCAGCCACTGCTGCGGCGGCCGCAGCGGCCCTGGGAGCGAACCAGACGCCGAGCCCCCCTGTCATCGTGCAGGGGGCTCCGAAGCAGAAGATCCCCAAAGAAGTAAATGTGGCCCTGGAGAAGGCCAAGACTCGATACGAAACTGACCTACGCAAATGGATTTCAGCTCAAAGACGGTACCACAAGTTGGAAGACGAGCTCAAGCTGTTCGACGAAGGCGAAGGGAGGTACCCGGCAGGTGTCAAACCCTTCGCCGCCTCCGAGACGCTGGCGGAGCTCGACCTGCCCAACGACGAGGTGATCGCAAGTAGCGGCCAAATCACCATCCAAATCAAACAAGGTTCTACGCTTCGTGAAACAATGGCGTCTATCCACTGGTCTTGTTTCAGACACATAAAAAATTTGGAGAAAAAGTCGGCTGAGAAGAAGATGTCGGACGCAAAGCAGGCAGCGCTCAAGGTGACGTTTGCCAACACCGTGACGGACATCATCAAAGCAGCTGCCGAAAAGGACAGGGCGTCAGCTCTGGGACTGGGTGAACCCCTCTACGAACCAGTGCCTGAGCAGGAAGCTGCTGCCAAGGCAGAGTCGCTGTACAAGCAAGCGGTGGATCGCATCTCCAAGGAAATAGAGACCAAGGAGAACGAGGCCAAGAAGGCGAAGGACAAGGAGGAAGCCAAGGAGCACGCCAGGATGAACATGGACCCGGCTAGCCTCCTCAAAAAGGTGATCAACGCGGAGATCAGGGACAAGCTGGGCGAAAGACATGATGTTGATCTGGAAGGTGGGCCTCCAGATGCAGCTATGGGGTCAGAAGCTAGAGCAGTAGATCCAGCTCAAACCTTGACCCGCTT